CTTTCTTTCTAGTTTACCTTCCTTTCTTATCGTTATCTTACAAAATGTATCTGGCCCAGTTCTGGCCCACACAAGGCAATAACAGTCAGATACAGCAACAAATGACAGCCCTTCGGTGGCTCAGATGTGGTTTGTCAAAGATGGTCCATGAATGGGTGAGCATCACATAAACCAAACAACAACCAGGCCAGTTGCAGCATTTAAAGATTTGGGCCAGGTAAACCAAAGCACATGTGGGCCAGTTGTGGTATTGACAGAATTGGGACACATGACCCAAAGCACAACTGGGCCAGTTGTGGCACTGACAGAATTGGGACACATGACTCAAAGCACAATTGGGCCAGTTATGGCACTGACAGAATTGGGACACATAACCCAAAGCACAACTGGGCCAGTTGTGTGTCTGACAGATTTGGGCCACATAAACCAAAGCAAAACTGGGCCAGATGTGGCACTGACCAATTTGGGCCACATAAACCAAAGCACAACTGGGCCAGTTGTGTCACTGACAGATTTGGGTCACATAAACCAAAGCACAACTGGGCCAGTTGTGTCACTGACAGATTTGGGCCACATAAACCAAATCACAACTGGGCCAGTTGTGTCACTGACAGATTTGGGCCACATAAACCAAAGCACAACTGGGCCAGTTATGTCACTGACCGATTTGGGCCACATAAACCAAAGCACAACTGGGCCAGTTGTGTGACTGACAGATTTGGGCCACATAAACCAAAGCACAACTGGGCCAGATGTGTCACTGACAGATTTGGGCCACATAACCCAAAGCACAACTGGGCCAGTTGTGTGACTGACAAATTTGGGCCACATAACCCAAAGCACAACTGAGCCAGTTGTGTCACTGACAGAATTGGTACACATAATCCAAAGCACAACTGGGCCAGTTGTGGCATTGACAGAAATGGGCCACATAACCCTAAGCACAACTGGGCCAGTTGAGTCACTGACGGATTTGGGCCACATAAACCAAAGCACAACTGGGCCAGTTGTGTCACTGACAGATTTGGCCTACTTGAATGCTTAAACGATGTGAGTGCATGGATAGACCTGACCAGAGGTCACTTTTTTTAGTAACTCTGATGAACTGACAGTTCAACAGAGTTCAACTGACAGACTGCAGTAGTGCTGTTGGACCACTGGACRCTTTGTCTGGCCGTGTGTCTGTRAGAAATCTTGGGTTGATTTTGGACTCTGATTTTAAATTTAAWGAACAGGTCAGTGCAGTAGTCCAGTCTAGCTTTTATCATCTGAGACTTACAGTATAAGTCAAGTCAAGGATTATCTGCCTCATAATGCCCTTGAGAGGGTWATTCATGCTTTTACCACTTCTAGACTGGATTACTGTAACTCCCTTTATTGTGGGATGGATCAGTCTTTGGTTCATCGTCTACAGCTGGTTCAGAATTCAGCTGACGATTTATTAACAGCGACAAGACGTCATGAACACATCACTCCAATAATGTATTCTCTTCACTGGTTGCCTGTTTCTTTTAGAATTGTTTTTAAGATTTAGTTTTTAAATGTCTAAATTGTTTGGCACCTCATTATCTTACTGAGCTATTACAGCCTCACGTTCCAAATAGATCTCTAAGATCTGTAAATCAAAAGCTTTTAGTTGTTCCCAGGTCTCGGCTTGTGACCAGGGGAGACGTAAATTTTGCAGGTCCTAGGCTCTGGAACAACCTCCCACTGTCTGTGAGGTCTGCTGGGTCTCTAAATGAGTTTAAGTCTCTATTAAAAACTCATCTGTTTAAACAGGCATTTGACCCTAAAGAGCAGGATCATTAGAGACATTTAGCC